AGTTCTATCACGTGCGCTTGCCGTTTGATGTTATTTTCTTCATTTATTTATGTATTGTATCCACTGACATATTGCTATATCCACAAAAAAACATATTGTGTTCTTCGATCCACTGTTACGTGAACGAATTTTGTTTCACGCATTGTTAGGTCAAGAAACACATTATTATGATTGAACACATTCTGCCGTTTCCCATAACAGTTTTAATCGCTTTTTTGCAACTCAGTGGTGACCCATCAGAAGCGAGTCTCTCGTTGTGGGGTGGAGTCTACTCCTATAAAAGGGGAAGACATTTCGCCGCGAGCCAAAAAAAAAAAAAAAAAGGTTTTTTAAGATTCCAATAAGAAAAGAGAGTGACTACACTCAATGCGATAATTCACACTGACATCATTAACACACTTCGCTGTATTACCATGCTGTGTGGCGTCAGTTTTCCTATCATAACGCATTTCCCTTGCGTAATGGACAAATTTTTAGAAGTCGTAGTACTTTTCGGATAGGAAAAACGGGCCAATGGAGAAAGGGCAGTTGGTGGTCGGTGTTTTTGACCAATGGCTAGGCAACCGTGTAATTGCCACGTGTCGGACAAGAAGATGCGAAAGAATTTGCAGAGAACCGCTCTCTTCCCATTGTGTCAATTTTCAGTGCCCCATTTCGCTCGTTAACTCAAGTTGTCAACCGGTTTCAGGGTGCGCCAAACAGGAATCCTGCAACTTTCATCCAATTTGGAACCTGTTCTCACGAGTCTGCAGAACAAACTGATTGCGAACAGCTTCCGAGCATTCCTGTCTTCGAAGATGGAAGAACAAATAATTTAGGTAGAACTTAGAATTTATGACTCAGGTAGTAAGTATTTAATTTTTATTATTTTTTCCCCCATCCTATTTATTTTTTTTTTTTTTTTTTTTTTTTCATGATTGTTTGATTTTATTAATTGTCGGAGATTCATCTGGATACCGATGTAATGTTAGAATTGATGAATGAATTTGCAAATAACAGGAAATGAATGAGATGTTTAGAAGTTAAAAGCAGCCAAACTATTTCCTCCTTTTATCGATGTGAGTGTGTAAAGCTGTCTTTTTTCTTATTTATGACTGCTATAATGCCCGTGCATACCCGGGAGTGTACGATGTTGTAATTCTTGTTTTCTAATGACCCTTGAGCGCTTATTTATTTATTTATTTATTTATTTATAACTTTTCTAGTCTGATTTCGAAAGATTTGTTTGCTGCGATCCTGATATTTATAGGTGCGATTTTTTTTTAATTTATGAATTGTTTGCGTTGTGACTTGCAATTTTGTTATAAGTTAGATGAATTAAGTAATAGTGTTTGTGCATTTAAACGCTCGCTCTCTGCCAACGGCCATACCATGATGAAATCACCGGTTCTCGTCCGATCGCCGAAGTTAAGCATAATCGGGCGCGGTCAGTACTTGGGAGGGGGACCACCTGGGAACACCGCGTGCCGTCGGCCTTCCTTTTATTTAATTAATTTTTTTTTAATATATGCTTGTATGTGAAAAAAAAACGGGGTAAACAGTCCTCTTTTGATCATCATATTCGTTTCGTTCCTATTATTCTATCCTATTCTATGCCTATGAATTGTTCTGTTCGCAAATGTTGTAACTTGTAATTTTGTTAAAGTGAGATTAACAAATTACTTTATTTATCATTTCCTGTGCATTTTATTGGAATTAAGCGCCGCCTTTCTGCCAACGGCCACACCATGATGAAAACACCGGTTCCCCGTCCGATCGCCGAAGTTAAGCATCATCGGGCGCGGCCAGTACTTGCGGGAGGGGACCACCTGGGAACACCAGTGCGCCGTCGGCCTTCCTTTATTTAATTAATTTTTAATATATGCTTGTATGTGAAAAAAAAAAAAAAAACGGGGTAAACAGTCCTCTTTTTGATCATATTCGTTTCGTTCCTATTATTCTATCCTATTCTATGCCTATGAATTGTTCTGTTCGCAAATGTTGTAACTTGTAATTTTGTTAGAAGTGAGATTAAATAAATTACGTTATTTATCATTTCCTGTGCATTTTATTGGAATTAAGCGCCGCCTTTCTGCCAACGGCCACACCATGATGAAAACACCGGTTCTCGTCCGATCGCCGAAGTTAAGCATCATCGGGCGCGGTCAGTACTTGGGAGGGGGACCACCTGGGAACACCGCGTGCCGTCGGCCTTCCTTTTATTTAATTAATTTTTTTTTTTAACATATGCTTGTATGTGAAAAAAAAAGAAAAACGGAGTGAACAGTCCTCTTTTTGATCGTATTCGTTTCGTTCCTATTATTCTATCCTATTCTATGCCTATGAATTGTTCTGTTCCCAAATGTGAAAGAAGATGTGAAAGAATTTCCAGAGAGCCGCTCTCTTCTCATTGTCCCAAAGGGGGCCACATTAGGGCCCATTCTACGTAATCACTCTTTATTTTTTAAATACTTTGCTTTTATAGATAAAATTCAATAATATACCTCGTTCGAAAGGTCTTCCAGAGTACTTTGAGAATATATAGGAGTCCTCTTCATTTTAAGAAAAAGCAGAGTTCGAATAATTTTTTTTCTCGTTTTCTATAAGTAATTCATTATTCCCATTTATTTTATAGATAGAATTAAATGAAATACCTCATCGGAAAGGTCTTTCTGAGTACTTTAAGAATGTATTCATTCCATGATTTTGTCATTCGGGGGGAAAAAAAATCAAAGAAAACGCGAAAACAACAATTCTGTCCATAAAAAAAGAACCGCTAAATAAAAATATACTAAATGTGCACCCTGGGGCTTTTTAAAAAAAATTGTATTTTTAACTCCATTGGGAAAAAAGTTATAGTACGATAAAGTTCTATAAAAAAGATACACACCTGACACCTGGCGGAGGAAACCGGGAGTCGGTGGTGTCCGACTTCAAAACTCCACAGCGCCCCAACTTATCGACCGATTCTCTCGAAGTCGATATCCCCGCGTAGGTCTCGGTGTGCTCTTTCTTTCGAGTCCCCGTTCGTGATACGGTGTTTTCCAGGGAGAAAACTCGAAAACAACCTATTTATTAATAAAAAAAGAACCGCTCGACCGAATATTAATAAAAAATACACTAAATGTGCACCCTATGATGGGCCTTCTTTAAAAAAAAAATTGTATTTTTTAATCCATTTGGGAAAAAGTTATAGTAAGATAAAGTTCCGAAAAGACTAACCCCCACACCTAGCGGTGGCGAGTTCTTAGGCAAAAAATTTAAAATTCAACACCGCGCCAACTTACCGAGCGATTTTCTCGAAACGGATATCTCCTACTAGGTCTCGGCGTGCTCTTTTTTAAGTGCTAATTCTTGGGCATTTGAAAAGGGGGGCCACATTAGGGGCCCCTTCTACGTGATCACTTTTATTTTTTAAAGCTTTTTCTTTATTAAAAATAAAAACCTCGTTCGAAAAAGGGCTTCCCAGAGTACTTTGGAATATAGGAGTCCTCTTCTTTTAAGAAAAGAAAAGTTCGAATAATTTTTTTCTCGTTTTTCTTTAAGAAATTCATTATTCCCATTTATCTCATAGATAGAATCGAACGAAATACCTCATCGGAAAGGTCTTTCCGAGTACTTTTTAGAATATACTAAATTTCCACGATTTTGTCTTTCGGGAGGAAAAAATCAAAAAAGAACGCGAAAACATCAATTCTGTCCATAAAAAAGAACCGCTTGAAAGGGTTTTAAAAAAAAATAACTAAATTGCACCCTAGGGGCGCTTTTTAAAAAAAATTGTATTTTTAACTCCTCGGGGGAAAAAAAATTATAGTAAATAAAGTTCAAAAAAAAAACACCGACACCTGGGGGGGGAGAGTTCTTGCCGAAAATTTAAATCCACACCCCCCCAACTTTCCAAAAGATTTTCTCCAAAACGATATCCCCGGTAGGTCTCGGGTTTCTTTTTAAATCCTAATTTGGAATTGTTTCAAAAGGGGAACCATAAAGGGCCCTAGAAAACTTTTTTATTAAAAAAAAGAAAGTTAGAAAAAATTTTAAAAAATATTTAAAGGGCCGAGGGGTCTTTTTTTAAAAAGAAGAATTAATATTCTTTTGTTTTCCAAAGAAAATTCATTCTTTCCCATTTAAAAACTCATAAGGAATTTGAACGAATAAAACCTATTCGAAAAGGTTCCCCTTTTTTTTTTAAGAATTTTCATTCCCCCATTTGCCCTTTTGTTCTTTCTTTATTTTTTTGTTTAGAAAAAAAAAAATAAAACTCGCAAACCAACCTTTTATTTTTAAAAAAAAGAACCGCTTCGTTTTTTAAAAAAAAATACAATAAATAATGACCTATTGAAAGGCCTTCTTTTTAAAATTTATTAATTTCCCCCTTTGGGAAAAAAAATAAGAAAATTTGAAAAAAATTTTTTAAATAGAAGCTGGCGATTTTATAAAAAATTTTAACCAAAGGCCCAAATTCGAGGGTTTTTAAAAAATGTATTTAAGGGCCTGGGGTTTAGAGATTAATTCTTTTAAAGCAACCACATTAGGGGCGTTCTACGAAAAACTTTAAAATTTCCACGCGCCTTTATAGAATTCAAAAATATCTCTCAAAAGGGCTTTGGGTCTTTTTTAAGTCCCCTTTTAATTAGAAAAGGGAAAGGTTCGAATTATTTTTTCCCCTTTTTTAAAAAAAATTCAAAAATCCCTTTAAATCTCAAAATAGAATAATGAAAAAAACCTCATTTTGAAAGGTAAAATTTTTTTGTTTCTTTTAAGAAAATTATTATTCCATTTACCAGAAAATCAATGAATAAACCCTATAAAAAAGGCTTTCCCAGTATTTAAATATATTCACCTTGATTTTTCTTTAAAAAAAAATGAAACGGAAAAATAAATTTGTCCCAAAAAAAAGAACCGCTTCGAGGTTTTAAAAAAAATTCAAATTGCGCCCCAGAGGTTTTTTTAAAAAAAAAAATTGTTTTTTTAAGTCAATTTTACAAAAAAACGGTAATAAAGTTCTATAAAAAAATTACAAACTGAACCTGGCGGAGGAAAAGGTAGGGTGTTCCCTTTTTAAAAACCCCCAACCCCCCAATTAAAAGATTTTTGAATGATACCCCCGAGGTTTCCCTTTTCTTTGGATCCCCCCCATTTGTTTTCCAGGAAAAGCAAAAAGAAAACGAAACAACAATTTTATTTAAAAAAAGAACCGCTCGAGAATATTAATAAAAATAATTTAAAAAAGCCCCAGATGGGCTTTTTTTAAAAAAAAAATTTTATTTTAATCCATTGGGACAAAAGTTTTAGTAAGATAAAGTTCCCCGAGGAAAGATCCCCGACACCAGCGGTGGCGAGTTCTTTTCCAAAATTTAAAACCCACCGCGCAACTTACCGAGCGATTTTCTTTAAAAAAATATCCCCAATAGGTCTCCGGGGTTTTTTTAATCCAATTTTTGGGCATTGGAAAAGGGGGCCCCATTAGGCCCCTTTTTAAGAATTCCTTTTTTTATTTTAAAGTTGTTATAGATAAAATTTTAAAAAAATACCTCGTTCGAAAGGTTTTGAATCCCTTTTTTTAAGAAAAAAGAGTTCGAATTTTTTTCTCGTTTTTTTAAAAACCCCTTATTCCCATTTATTTTATAGATGAATCGAAAAAATACCTCATTTTGAAAGGTCTTTCATACTTTTTAAAAATATATTATTCCAGATTTTCTTTGGGGGGAAAAAAAAAACAAGAAAACCGAAAACCCCAATTTTTTAAAAAAAAAGAACCGCTGAGAATTTAATAAAAATAACTAAATTGCACCCTAGGGGCCTTTTTAAAAAAAAAAATTTTATTTTTTAATCCATGGGAAAAGTTATGTAATAAAGTTCGAAAAGACAACCCGACACCTAGGGTGGCGGTTTTTGGCAAAAAATTTAAAACACACCGCGCCAACTTACCGAGCGATTTTCTCAAAAGGATATCCCATAGGTCTCGGCGTTTCTTTTTTTTAAATCAATTTTGGACATTGGGAAAAAAAAGGGGGCCCCATTAGGGCCCTTTAGGATCCTTTTTTTTTTTTTAAAAGTTTGTTTTTTAGATAAAATTAAAATAACCTCGTTCGAAAGGTTTTTTTTCGAAAAAGGGGTCCTCTTCTTTTAAGAAAAAGAAGATTCGAATAAATTTTTTTTCGTTTTTTTTAAAAATTCATTATTCCCATTTATCTCATAGATAGAATCGAATGAAATACCTCATTCGAAAGGTCTTTCTTAGTACTTTTAAGAATATATTCATTCCACGATTTTGTCTTTCGGGAGGAAAAAAAATCAGAGAAAACTGCAAACCAACAATTTTATTAATAAAAAGAACCGCTTCGGGGGGGAAAAAAAAATAAAAAGAAAACTCGAAAAACCAACAATTTATTAATAAAAAAAAACGCTCGACGAATATTAAAAAAAAAATACACAAATGTGCCCCCTATGGGGGGCCAAAAAAAAAATTGTATTTTTAATCCATGGAAAAAAGTTAATAGATAAAGTTCCACGAGAAAAGATACCCCGACCCCTAGCGGGGGCGAGTTCAGGCACGAAACTTTAAAATACCACACCGCGCCCAATTCCAGCGATTTTTCAAAAAGATATCCCCAATAGGTCTCGGGGGTTTTTTGTCCCTTTTTGGAAATTCAAAAGGGGCCACATTGGCCCTTTTAAGAATTTTTTCTTTATTTTAAAAAGTTGTTATAGTAAAAATTAAAAATACCTCGTTCGAAATGTTTTCGAGGATCCCTTCTTTTAAGAAAAAAAGAGTTGAATAATTTTTTCTGTTTTTTATAAAAATCCCTTATTCCCATTTATTTTATAGATAGAATCAGATAAA